TACCATCCTTATGTGGTCTGGTCTACATGTGACTCCAGACCCACAGCAGTGTGGTTGACTTTCAACATTTCGGGACAGGTAATAAATGCTGACTCAGCTAATGAATTAATACTTTTTAAAAAAACAGGCTAAATATATGTTTGGTCTCATGTTAAACTACTGACATATGTTGAAAATGTTATTAGCGTACTTCAGAATATAAAACAGAGCTTATACACAATTATAGAATCCCTTAGGATAGTTGGCCATTCAACCTGTCAAGTCCATACCAACCCTCTGAGGAGCATCCCACCCAGAGACACCTCCGACCCCATCCCAGTAATCATGAATTCACCACAGCTAATCCACCTAGCCTGCACATTATGGGACAATTTAGCACGGCCAATTCGCCTAACCTGCTCACCTTTGTACTGTGGGAGGAAACTGGAGCACTCAGGGGAAACCCATACAGACACGGGGAGAATGTGCAAACTCCACACAGTCACCCAAAGGTGGAATCGAGCCCAGGTCTCTGTCCGTGGGAGGCAGCAGTGCTAACCACTGAGCCAATGTGCCATCTGAAATCAAATCCTAAGGAAATTACCTTTCTTCATAAAGTCCACTTGCACTTCATAAGAATTTTCAAAGTAACTTTTGAAGTCTCACACCATTGTTTATTCATGGAAATCACATAACAAAAATGTAACTGTAAACGTTCTCTTTTCATTACAACAGAATCGGGTACCATACAAAAACTTCACAATGCAGAAGAAAAATCAACAGCTGGTTTCAGAAAAGCGAGATTAAAGAGAAGAAAGGAAGTCATTAAAAAATGTAAGAAGTAGTGACAGTGGGTCCTCCTACACCTCAGAAGCTCTCAAACTCTCAGATCTTTTGTGTGGGGACAGAACTATATTTAAGAATGAAGAAGATTTTCAATAAATGTAACTCAACAGCAGCACAAATGATTGAAGAAATTCACAAGTAGTTATATTTCAATGAATTCCAGCCATGGGTAAAATTCATGCTCATTTCCTTAACAGAAGAATAGCACGACTCCTCTTGCACACCATAGTTACATGAAAACTTTGCAGGAATGTCTATGCCCCATTTCTTGAGGAGGAAGAAAAGTTTGAACCCAAAATCAAACTCAGAGATAAACATGATGCCACTAATCCAGTGCTGACATCTTATTGTAGGATAGTCAGGTCTAATTGGTCAAATACAGTAAGTAATTTGTACAGAATAAGGTCCTACAAATAAACAATGGGATGAATGAAAGGCCAATTAATTGGTTTCGTGAACAATCAGCAATTGTTAAATTGAGAGAACACTTCTTCGGAAAAATATTTTGGGATCCTTTAATTGTCCCATGTGTGCCATTAATGGTCTGAAGTTACATTCTTTCTAAAACACAGCACCTTCAACAATACACCTCTCCCTCAGTACTGAAACGCTTGCATAGATGAATGGAGCAGTGACAGGTATGAAGCTTGAACTAGTTTTCTTTAAAAAAAACATTCAACAAAAGAGCTGAAGAAAGGACCTTCCAGTCAAGGCCATGTGAAATTCAAACATCAATAAAATGCGTTTTGTAAGGAGTGCTCCCTGATGTCCTGACCAATATTTATCACTCAGAACATCAGAAAAGGATAAGGTGAATAACCAAGAGATAGTAAGAACTGCCGATGCTGGTGTCAGAGATAACACAGTGTGGAGCTGGAGGAACACAGCAGGCCAGGCAGCATCACAGGAACAGGAAAGTTGACATTCTGGGTCAGGTAATTTCAGAATTTCTGAAGAAGGGTCCCGACCCGAAATGTCAACTTTCCTGCTCCTATGGTGCTGCCTGGCCTGCTGTGTTCCTCCAGCTCCACACTAGGTAAATAGCCAAGATCTTTTTTACCCTGGGGTGGGGGAGTCCAAAACTAGGGGACATGGGTTTAAGGTTGGGGGGGAAAGATTTAAAAGGGACCAAAGGGACAACTGCTTCACACAGAAGGCGTTGCGTGTATGGAATAGCTGCCAGAGGAAGTGATGGTACAATTACAAGATTTAAGAGACATCTAGATGGGCACGTGAATAGAAAGGATTTAGAAGGATATGCTGGCAAGTCGGAGTAGGTCAGTTTAGGATATCTGGTTGGCAAGGACAAGTTGAACCGAAGGATCTGTTTCCGTGCTGTACAATGCTATGGCTCTGTGATAGAATTAACCAGCATCTTTTTCTTGACTTCTCTGGCAAAAGGCACTGTGATTTCTACCACCAATTAGGGAAAGGAAACAAGAATTCATCCCAGCCAGAATGGGGATTGAACTGCGTGCCAACCACTCCACTGCTCTAATTCCATTTTCCCGCACTTGGCCCATAGCTTTGCATGCCTTGTTAGAAACCAGCAGAACTAAGTATCCGAGTCTGAATCTCACCCCTGTAAGAACAAACTTGAGTAATTCACCACCTAGGTCCATATTACACAACCTTTTCTCTTATTATTATTTTTCTCTCTATTTATACATTTTTGCCAATTCACTAATCTAAAACTTGCAAAATTGTGAGTAAGATTTGAGGGTGTGATAAAGAAAGGAAGCTGACGCACGCTTTGTGGACCTGAAACTACAACAGTTGGTGTTCATCTGGGAATGCCAATAATGTTTTCCTTTTGCCAAGGTTGTGCACATGATGCCTCGACAAATATCAGCAATCTGCGAGTAATTAGAGGCATAAGACACCCCCTAATCAGCAGGCTTGAAGCCACGAAGCTAATAACTTGACAGTTCTGAGCTGCGCTGCAGTTCCTTAGAGATAAGTGCTTTTGCTTTAAAGAACCCGAATTTCTTTGACTGAGGTAAAGGTTAAGGCTCTCAATTCTACATTTGATCATGTTCAGCAAAGGCAAACAAAAACATAAGGCATGGGAGTCGCTATAATTCACTGTCAGTCATGGCTTTGCATTTTGGGTTTGAATCAACATCAGTGAAGTGAGACAATTGATTAGGATTGATGTTTAAATGCACATTAACATCTTCAGAATTAACAGCCTTGGAATGATCATGTGTAGCTGTAACGTCAAATGGTGTATCTACCACAACATCTTTTCTAAGCATGATGGGAAATGCCACCAGGGTAACATGGTGGCTCAGTGATTAGCACTGCTGCCTCACAGCGCCAGGGACCCGGGTTTGATTCCACCCTCAGGCAACTGTCTGTGTGGAGTTTGCACTTTCTCCCCGTGTCTGCGTGGGTTTCCTCCGGGTGCTCCGGTTTCCTCCCACAGTCCAGGCTATGTTAATTGGTCATGCTAAATTGCCTGTAGTGTCCAGGAATGTGCAGGTTAGGTGGATTGTCCATGGGGAATGCAGGGTTACAGGGATAATGTAGGGAGGTGGGTCTGAGTGGGATGGTCTTCAAAGGGTCAGTGTGGACTCAATGGGCCAAATGGCTTCCTTTGCCATTGTAGGGATTCTATGTAGTCAATAATGCAGGAGTGATAGGATATGGAACCAATTCTTTAGGAACCTCAATAAGTTTATATTTTGAACTTAAGGATGTTGACAGCTAAATCAACAATTTCAGAGTGAACAAGTAGGAAACAATTATTTGCTCATAGTAATAACTAATATTATGTAGTTAATGAGACCATGAAAGGGACACTTGCAGAGCATGCGTAACCTTGTTTAATGATAAAGATATGTAAAGTAAGTGCTAAGATAACTGAAGACAATTGAACTGTAAAAGAAATTGGAATGAAATGAAATAATGAAGACTATAAATTGCCGTGCAGTGGAGTGGGCTTAGTGAACTTTTACTGACTATGTTTCCTAGCAAATGCTTGTAGAATGAAGTCTGTAATTGCTGAACCCAAGAATCAAAGTGGTTTTTAAAGCATTGTGTTCAGATTAAAACTAATCTGTTATCACACAGCAATGCTGTGGGTTACAGCTTCGCAACACAACTTGTATTTATGTGTGCCACCTTTGATATAATGAAATGGTCCAAGGAATGTTGCATGAGCTTTACAAAGTAATGTATAATGCTGAGCCTCATAAGTAGATAGTAGAGGTCAAAGAGGTGGGTTTTAAGGAAGATCTTAAAGAAGGAAAGTGAGGGAGAAGGGGTAAGGTCAAGAGAGTGAATTCCAGAGTTTAGGGAACAAAAAAATGCTAGAAATTACAGGACGTCAGGCAGCATTCTTGGAGATAGAGTAAGTTAACATTTTGAGCCGCTCTGATGAAGAATCATCTAGACTTGAAACTCTCTCTCCGCAGATGCTACCTGACCTACTGTGATCTTCAGTACAGATTCCAGCATCTCCTTCAGAGCTTAGGGTCTAGGCAACTACCCATGGTGGAGAGAAACAGTGGAAAAAGACAGAATTAGAGCAGCACAGATATCTCGTTGGATTTTGGGTCAAGGAGATAGGAAGGGTGATGTATGTAGCAGGATTCTAAACAAGGTTGGAAGTGTTAAAATCAAGATGTTGCTTAGCAAGCAACCATGGGCAGTGACCACAGTTGTGATGGATGATGGGGGCTTTGCTGCAAGTTAGAACCGAACAGTAGAGTTCCGATGGCTTTTCCCATCAGCAGCACTTATACTAAAGCTGGAACAAGAAGAATTGCATGACCCCTATGCAAGGACGACATGCAAATTCATGAAGGGTCCCATTTTTTTGCGGAATTGGTTAGATTGGCCTGCTGATTTGTGATAGCAACAGTGTGGGTTCAGTTCTTACACTGGCTGAGGTTACCATGAAGGACTCTCCTTCTCAACCTCTCCCCTCGCCTGAGGAACGGTGACCCTCAGGTTAAACCACCATTAGTCATCTCTCTCTAATGAGAGAACAGCCCAATGATTGGGTAGGACTATGGTGACTTTACCTTTCCCATTGAAAAAGGTGACTTTTTTTAAAAATTATTTGTTCATGTGATGTCTGCATCGCTGGCCAGGTCAGCATTTTTTGCCCATCCCACATTGCCCAGAGGGCAGCTCACAGAAGTGTTACGACGCAAGAGAAGGCCATTCACTCCGCCATGCCTGTGATAGCTCTTCCAACAAGTATCATTATCTAGAGTTTTTTCCCATTACTCTTGTACACTCTTCCTATCGAAATAATCATCCAATTCCCTCTTGAATGCTCCAATTGAACCTGATCCCACCACATTTCCAGGGAATGCATTCCAATACTAACTACTCACTAAGTGAAATGATTTTCTCGCGCTACACCCACTTTTCTTTTGCAACATCTCTTTCCATCTATGCCCTCTTGCTCATTTTTTTTTTGCGTTTAGAAGTGAGAACAACTTGTTTGTTTCTATTCTATCCATCTCGCCCCGATTCTGAAAACCCTTATCGAATCTCTTCTTCAAGGACAACTCCAATTCCTTCAATCTATTGTCAAAGCTGATGTTTGTCATTCCTGGAGACATTCTTGTGAATTGCTTCTGCACTGAATCAGTTAAGAGCCAACCGCATTGCTTTGGGTCTGGAGTCACGTGTAGACCAGCCCAGATAAAGCTGGCAGATTTCTTTTTCTGTAGGAAATTAGTGAATCAGATGAATTTTTATGATAATTAACAAGGGCACATGGTCACCATTAATACAGGTCTTCGCTGAATCCAAACTTCACTGAATGCCATGATGTGATTCAAACCCTCTCTCCCAGAAAATTGGTCTGGGTGATAGGCATTACCACTACATCAGTGCCTTCCAGTACGTGATACATAACCAGCTGGTTAAATCTCCAGCTCTTTATTTGGGTTAATTTCTTTTCTTTTAGCTTCTCTTGGAATCTGGGGTCTGTTGGCAAGCATTTGTTTTCCATTCCAAATTGTACTTCACCTTGAGAGGTTTGCTAGGTACATTTCATTGGAAACAGAGGCCGGGACTTTTTCCACTGAAGCACAGGAGATTGAGAGATGACCTTGCAGACCTTTATAAAATAATGAGGGGTATAGTCAAGGTGAATGGCAGGGTGAGAGATCTCAAGAGTAGGAACCATATTTTTAAGTTGACAGGAGAAACATTTAAAAAAGACATGGGGGCAATTTATTTTCACTCAGAGAGTGGTTCGTGTGTGGAATGAACTGCTAGAGGAAGTGGCAGATGTGGATACAGTTACAACGTTTAAAAGACATTTAGATAATTATCTGAAAAGGAAGGGTTTGGAGGGATATGGCCAAGCACAGTGAGGTAGGACTAGTTTAGTTTGAGATTATGGTTGGCACAGACTTGTTAGACCAAAGGGTCTGTTTCCATGCTGTATGACTCTAAGACTCAGCCATATTGCTGTTGTTTGATTTTATTTTATTTTAATTTCAGTTTGGTTTTATTGTCACGTGTACTCAAGTACAGCAGCACAGTGAAAAGTGTATAGTGTCGCCACACAAGACGCCATCTTAAGTACCTAGGTACAGAATCTTAAGAACAAGTTAGAAAGAAAGAACAAAGTTAAAAGTTATTTGTAGGACATGGGCAAGGATGGTAGGTTTCCTTCTCTAAAAGACATTAATGAACAAGGTGAGTTTTTAAACAATGAATCAGTGATAGGTTCATGATCAGCACCATTAGGATTAACTTTATATTCCAGATGTATGCATCGAATTTAAATTCATCTATGGTGAGATTTGAACCCATATTCCCAGAGCAATAGCCTATGGATTTCTTACCCAGTGATAGCACCAAAATGTTACCATTCCCCCTGAATAATATTTGTGTGTAAGTAGTTAATCCTTCGTCGTTGGCAGCTCAATTCAAAAACTATTCCATCTCCACAATATTTCAACAAAAAAATTGTAACAAACTGGGTTCCCTCTGTAACACTTGCCTTTATATAGCACCTTTAACCGACAAATTGCTCCACCCCCGACACATTTCACAGACTCAGCATTATTGTTTCTAACTCAGAACATGGGAGGTGGGTAAAGCCCCAACCCAGCAAATTATGAAATTGAATCCCATTGTTCATTAAAAATTGGGCATAAAAGATTAAAAACCGACCAACTCAGTGATGTTTCTTTTAAATATGGAAACTACCATTTCCATCCAGTCTGACCTAAACTGTTGTCCCACTTTCTCAACATAGGTCATGCTTAATGCCCGCAGATGTGAGCTCGAGAGCCTTTGGGTTGCCGGGGTAATTAGAATGGACAATATTTTCTGACGTATCACTCATATTCCAAAAAGAAATGATACAAGCCTTAAACCATGGCTTCCCAAAATGAAGGTGTTGGGGAGGGGATTTGTGACCCTAAGATGAAGATCTAATGCACAATGACCTCTGTAGAGATTTGACTGACTTACTACAACTATGTAGTTCGATCACATTTGGAATACTGCGTACAGTTCTGGTCGCAACATTACCAAAAGGATGTGGATGCTTTGGAGAGAGTGCAGAGGAGGTTCACCAGGATGTTGCCTGGTATGGAGGGCGCTAGCTATGAAGAGAGGTTGAGTAGATTAGGATTATTTACATTAGAAAGACGGGACCTGATTGAGGTCTACAAAATCATGAGAGGTATAGATAGGGTGGATAGCAAGAAGCTTTTTCCTAGATTGGGGGACTCAATTACTAGGGGTCATGATTTCAAGGTGAGAGGGGAAAAGTTTAAGGGAGATATGCATGGAAAGTTCTTTACACAGAGGGTGGTGTGTGCCTGGAGCGGAGGTGGTAGAGGCGGACATGATAGCGTCATTTAAGATGTATCTAGACAGATACATGAAGGTGCAGGGAGCAGAGGGATACAGATCCTTGGAAAATAGGCGACAGGTTTAGATAAAGAATCTGGATCGGCACAGGCTTGGAGGGCCGAAGGGCCTGTTCCTGTGCTGTAATTTTCTTTGTTCTTTCTTTGTTATGCCCCAACTCCGACAGATGCCTCCCAGTCTCAGAGCAGCCCCCACCTCACACCAACCTCTCCCTACTCAAAGAGGGACCCAAAAATGATCAAGCCTCAAAATGGGATTGCAGCAGGAGTAAATTTAGGAAGAACTGCCTGAATCATAAGCAAATGTTTTACTCAGCGGTATAAATGCTAATAGTTTTTCTCTAGAGTCCTTTGTTTTGGAGTGCGTCTGGGCAGCACACTTTTAAAACGGCTCAACTGTACTGCGATTGTAAAGATTTCAGTCAAGATTGTTATCATTGATTGTGCAGTTTTGCACCAGAGGGGAATACAACTGAATAGCTTGCTGATCCAGAGAGTTGAAACAGGCACGATGGACTAAAGTGTTATTTGCAAGCTGTACCTCCCAAATGTGAATCTGAGGACAGTCAACCAGTTGATTATTGCAAGGAAATGACCACAGGAGAGCAAAGCTACTATTGATGTCAAATTTATCACTACAGTCTCCTTTGTGTAATGTTGCAGAGGTAATGAATCTCGGCATGAGGTGAAGCATTTGTAAAGCAGGCAAAAACAGTAGCATCATTAACTTTCACATTATTTAGAGCACCATATTTTTCATTTGGCATTCTTTTCCGCAGTTATCTTGCTGTACTGTTGAGTCATCAGTTGAGCTGCTTTCAATATCTTCTAAAAGTCAGGTGATGGTGCAAAACACCACACACTGAGGCAATGGACATCCATAGAATATTGAGACAGTCACCACTGAGCTGCTGTGGTCATGTAGCCCAAATGCCTGGCACTTGCTTGCTGAAGGAATCCGCTGTGGAGAGGTTCATTCTAGGATGTGCTTTCACGATATCACTGCCTTCCAATATGTGACATATGATCAGCTAGATTAATCACCAGCTCCTCATTCAGGTCAATTTCTTTTTAATTAATTTTTCTTGAAAAAGAAAAAAAAGAAGACATTCTGGTTGCCTCACTGAAGAGCTTTGGAATCAAATCCAAAGTGTGGGAGATGTTTGCATGGGATCACCAGTTGATTATTGCAAGGAAACTACTGCAGGACAGCAAAGCTACAAAGCTATTGTGCTTTAAGAGGGATTTGTCCTGTGCTATTTCTCTTGCAGAGAGGTATCCCCACAGTGGTGACTGAATGTCTGCTTCAGAAGTAGTGGGTAAACAGCTTTGAGATCCCTAAGCATTTATTTAATGACACAAAAGACGCATGATTGGGTGGAGTTAGGCTCACACAGACCCAGGTTTTTAGGTTTCAGTTGGGGTTTGGAGTTAGATATTGAAGCTGATAGATACAGCTCTCTCTCTATCTCTCTCTCTCTCCCTCTCTCTCTAGTTGTTTCTCTGCTGCTAGATTGTTTCTTTCAGTGTTCCTTCTCCTGTACCGAAGAAAAGGTAGCACATGAGGAAAACCTGTTTTGCTGAATTTGCCTTTGCCAAGGGTGTGTTTATGAGATAACAAGGTGTAGAGCTGGATGAACACAGCAGGCCAAGCAGCATCATAGGAGCAGGAAAGCTGACGTTTCGGGCCTAGACCCTTCATCAGAAATGGGGGAGGGGAAGGAGGTTCTGAAATAAATAGGGAGACAGGGGGAGGCAGATAGAAGATGGATAGAGGAGAAGATAGGTGGAGAGGAAACAGACAGGTCAAAGAGGCGGGGATGGAGCCAGTAAAGGTGAGTGTAGGCGGGGAGTTAGGGAGGGGATAGGTCAGTCCAGGGAGGACGGACAGGTCAAGGGGACGGGATGAGGTTAGTAGGTAGGAAATGGGGGTGTGGCTTGAGGTGGGAGGAGGGGATAGGTGGGAGG